CACAAAAATTTTCTTTAACCTTTTATATCTTCTTTACTTTTGAATTGCGGCAAATAATATTTATATAGTTGAAATCAGCGAAAAGTACTACCGGTTTTAGTTTTCCCATAGCTGAACGGTTGGTTATCTTGATGTGTTCCTATAGTTTGTCTCTGTACGACTTGCAGATCACTGGAAATAAGCGCCTTGTTTCCAAATAATATATAAATATGATAGTTTTTTAGTGCAGAACTTCTTTCTACGTAGGCGGCCTTCGACCGTACTTAGGGATCATAACCCGCAGTAAGTACAATTCTCCTTTCTGTGTTGCCAAAGAAGTGGGGCTAAACACCTTTCTGTGTAGGCGGCCTTCGGCCGCACTTATAGATTATAACCCCCAGCAAATAGTACTCTCCTTTCTGTATTGCCAAAGATGGGGGGCTGAACTCCTTTTGCAGAGAACACCTTTCTGCGTAGGCGGCTTTCGGCTTGCAAATACATATTTTTCATGGAAAGGTTTATATTTTTAATGCTTACTGAAAATAAGATATATTTCTTTTGTCCCTCATCCTTCTTGTATATTTTGCGATTTACAGCTAAACGCCGTCATTTAATTTTCATATGCAACCAAAAGCAGACGCGTGATTAATTGCTTAAAATTAAAGTTATAAGTAAGTAGTTATAAGTAATCGAATAAAGTGTAAAGTGAAGGGGAATATAAAAATGTATTGGTGAAGTGGCTGCTTTAAGGAGAATAGGTGCGATAAATGTACGCTAATTTCCGAATTTCACAAAAAAGGGCATATATCAAACCGAATTTCTAAATAAATTAGTGGCCGAAAATTACAAGAGTGAGTGTTAAAATAATATGTAGATCCTTGATTACCAGAGTCCGCAAATTTTTTTTTGGATCGGGTCACCAGTTTGGACCCCGATATAGTTGGGCAACTTACTAAACAGTACCCCATATTTTTCTTAATTCCGTACTCGGGGGTTACCAATCTAAACCCCACCCTTTTTCCGCCCATTTATACCTGGTTCCGCTAAAGTACACTATTACCAAAGTTTTAGTAATTAGTGATCGCCACGAGCCGATGACGGTAACAAAAGCTTTGAGACAAGTCACAATTTCAATTGATACGTCCAGATCAAAAGCATATTTATTTTTTATTTATTTATTTTTTAGTCTGTTAGACTTATATTGCAACAAAGATTTAACATTCTTATAATTAGATTTTAGATTTAAAATGTAAATATTAAATACAAAATACAAAATGCTCTACAGAAATTTTTAAATAACATTATTTCTTTATCACTGCAATTATTTTATGTCAATATAAACGCATGCAATTTCCTGGAAGTTATGTATACGGTTGGAAAGGCCAAGTTTCCAATCCGCGCTATTCTTTTTGGGTTACTCCATTTATTGATATCTCCTGGGTGGTCAGAAAGGCCGAGTTTTCGATCCACCCAGTCGCGCTTTCTTGACGGTTGACGGTTGGAAAGGCCTAGTTTCCAATCCGCTCGTTTATTGTTTATTATCTAAGGGTCTAGGTAGTCGGAAAGGCCGAGTTTCCGATCCGCCTAGTCTCGATATCTTGGTGGTTGGAAAGGCCTAGTTTCCAATCCACGCTATTGTTGATACATCACTATCTTGTAGGCTGCGTTCTACAATAGTGAAATAGCAGCCGCTTGAAAAGAGTGATAGTATCACAATTTTTTATAGCCTCTGGTAATTCATAGCCAATGGGTGTGTAATATTTATTTATTGGGTTGGGTTCCGAAAAGTATCTGTAGGTTAGGGGCTGGTACAAAAAAAAGGGGGCTGGCCCCGTCCACCTTTACAGCTTGAAAGAGCAAAGACCAAGGAGTTCAATGATATGCTTTTCTTTCTCCTCCGACTACAGGGCTCCTCAGGCGAGCCGCTTAAAATTGGGAAAAAATCGTTGGTTAGGGGAAACTTTCCAATACCGACGTTCATTAAAGGGGCGGTGGGCGAACGGGGAGTGGGCGTGGCACCTCCAACCACCCTTTTTGGAGAGGGCATAAACCATTGACAAAAATGTCTCCCCGACCATCTGGGCCCCCTACGGTTCCCTAGGAACCCCTTAGAAAAATGGCCAAAAATCACAATTTTTAAAATTTCTTTATGCGTAGGCGGCCTTCGGCCGCGCGCAAAGTATGCCACATAGATCGTTGCAGCTACAGCGCGAACCGAAAATATGGCCAAATTCCATCTTTTTGCGCGCGTTGACAGTCAGCCGGTATAATATTTATTTTGTTTCGTTCAAATTAGAAGTTTCATGCAGAAGCATAAAATTTAATTACATTGCTGATATTTGTAAAGGTAGATATTAAATATCACAGCAATTTTAACGAGTAAAAACAGTACGAAATTGTTTTCTTGGCGTTCATTATGGCATACCTTTTGCGTCTGGCGCGTTGCTGGCAAAGTTATATATCTGTGTTCGTATGGAATAGTAGCTTATGTTGTTGTTGTTGTTGTTGTAGCGGCTACAACAACCCCGCCCAGATCGGTTGGTATCTCAGTCGTTGTCGTCAAGTTCCACTAACGGCAACCCTAGGAAGCGTGCAGCTTCTGCGGGGTTTGCCCATAAGGACAAGGTCGTTAGGGATGTCGGGTTTGCCGGGCATGCGAAGAGATGTTTCGAGTCATGTGGGGTCTCTCCGCATGCCGGACATTCATTAGGCACATCCTCATTCAGCCTACTCAGGTAGGAGTTTAACCTGCTGCAGTAGCCGGAGCGAAGTTGTGCAAGTGTGGTGCGCGTCTCCCGAGGCAGATGAAGCTCCGTCTCGTCAATGTCCGGGGGTGGTGTGCCTAGAACGGCATTCACAGGTCTAGAGTCTACATAACTCGAGACTGAGTCCCTGTGAATGCCGTTCAAGGCCTGTCTGTAGGCTGTCGGGTCCAGAGGTTGCTTAATGAACCTCTGGACTTCGTCCGTTAGTTCATATAGATGCCTCCTGACGTGCCTAGGCGAGGGCTCCTCTGCAAGCAGCTGTCTGCACGGGTGGCCACTTCTGTGGGTCCCAATCAGGAACTGTTTGCAGAGCATTATATTGTGCTCCTTCACCGGGAGCATTTGCGCCTCGCCGTGCAGGTGGTGTTCAGGCGTCATCAGGAGGCATCCCGTCGCTGTCCTCAGTGCGGTGTTTTGTGCAGTCTGTAGCTTCGTCCACTGCGTCCTACTAGTCCCAGGCGACCACACTGGCGCTGCGTAGTTCAGAACCGGCCGGCCTATTGCCTTGTATGTTGCCAGCAACGTTTCTTTGTCTTTGCCCCAAGTACTGCCGGCTAGCGACTTGAGGACCTTGTTGCGGCTCTATACTTTATTGACAATAGCGGTTGAGTGCGCAGAGAAGGAGAGCAGGCTGTCGAAAGTTACTCCGAGTATTTTGGGGTTATTCACCGTCGGAATTGGTGTGTCATCGACGTGAATCCCCAGCGGTAGCCTGACCTCCTACGTCCAGGTTGTGAACAGGGTCGCGGAGGATTTCGTAGGGGAGAGGGCTAGACACTTTGCAGAAAGGCTTGCTGTAGTACAATGCGGCATTCACAGCATACGATTTCGAATTACTCACTGGTGCCCAGCCGTTGAAGAACTTTTGGTAAATAAGCGTGAAAGAAATAGTTTCGATACCAGCAAGTAATGTTGTTGTTGTTGTAGCGGCTACAACCCCGCCCAGGTCGTTGCAAGTAATATTCTTATTAGGTCTCATTAAAAAAATCCTTGTCTTTTAAAGAATAAAGGGAATGCCGCATTATACTAAAGCCAGCTTCCCAATATAAGCTAATATTCCATACGAACACAGTTATATATGTATATGGAATCAGTTTAAATCACACAAAGCTGCCACTTCGTTGGAACAAGGCCGGGTTTTCGGCTGAAATTTCCAATAATAGACAATTTCTTATTTCAGGCAAAGTATAGGGAATTTTTTAATGAAATTGGCAGGGGGTGTTGAGGAAGTGCGCATCGACCGATATTTTAAACATTTTGAGTAGAAATGCTAACAGTTTTATAGTTATTTGTTGTTAAAATTTCTCCATTACCTTACATATTTTAAAATGGTGGCGTTTAGCTGTCAAACTGCTAAATATACAAGAAGGATGAGAGACAAAAGAAAATATGATATAACCCAGTCAGCATTAAAAATATAAACCTTTCCATGGAAAATATGTATTTACTGTCCCTGTGGCTCCTTTCGCTGAGGGTTATAATCCCTAAGTGCGGCCGAAGGCCACCTACGCAGAAAGGTGTTCTATGCAAAAGGTGTTCGGCCCCCTTTCTTTGGCACCACAGAAAGGAGAATTCTACTGCCTGAGGGTTATAATCCCTAAGTGCGGCCGACGGCCGCCTACGCAGAAAGGTGTTCTATGCAAAAGGTGTTCGGCCCCTTTTCTTTGGCACCACAGAAAGGAGAATTCTACTGCCTGAGGGTTATAATCCCTAAGTGCGGCCGAAGGCCGCCTACGCAGAAAGGTGTTCTACGCAGAAAGGTGTTCGGCCCCTTTTCTTTGGCACCACAGAAGAGAATTCTACGTAGTGAGGGTTATAATCCCTAAGTGCGGCCGAACATTTCTATCGCTTTTTTCTTAATTTCACAATATTGTTAGTTAATTTTTTTCCCCATCATTTTTTTTTTTCAAATCGCCTGATAACCAACTTGGGATAATTTCTTTTATTTAAAAATCCCACGTTTTTCGTTAGTTGGGTTATATTCCACTTGAAACTGCTCAGTTTGCCTCGGAAAATTACGTTTTTACCCCATTTTCAAACGGTTCCCTAGGGGTCTGTGGGTGGTCCCCAAGGGGGGGTGGGGCTTTTCGTAAAGTGGCGACTGTCCCCTTTCGAATGAGGGGGGTTTGGGGGCCCCGCCCCCTCCCCCTCCGCCCCCCACCCCAAAAACGGTGAGCCAATAACTAAACATTTCCCCACTTCACTAATCACTTTTCTTTTCAATATATATTTTCTTCATAAACAATCCCTTCATACCATTCCTTCCTACCCCACCACGGCAAATGTTGGAAATTTTCCATCTCACATATGTTTATACGACACAACAATGTATTCCATTAATTAAATATGGATTAGCTACACGATTCGAAAGTTGTCACGAAGGTCTTAGGTGCGTGAAATAGCAACCTTAGCAACTAACAACTGTTGAAATAAAATCCTCTAGAGCCACTTTTACGATATGGTCACAGCCCTCAAACACCCCTCATACACCGTTTTCCAAACCAAGAGTGTATTATACTAGAATTTTCGCCAAACAACTAAACATTTCGCTTAATATCTTTGACAGAGTCAAAAATAATTTTTACTAAGAATTTCACATTTCACATTTCGTACTTCCGTTTGTTTTTATTTTAATGTTGTAGAGCTGGTATTTCAATTTAAATATATTTTGAGTTATTACTACGCGTTTCGAACACAAAAATGTATAACATATTTTTGATGATCTCATTTATGAATTATTGAACCATTACGCCACATATGTATGTATGAATATGTAGTTATTGTCTACCAGCAGTTTAAACAGGCGATAGTTTAGTTTGATTGACCAGCAGATTTTTTGTGTTTGTTTCTATAATTTTTGCTCGCTCGCGTTCATTAGCATTCACTGTGTTGCACAATTCAAGTCATCAAACATAACTAGTGATGTTCCAATACAAGAATGATAGAATACAAGATTGCGCCGATTGCAGCAGAATTCGTGAGAGTAATTTTAGCGTGACTTCATCATAGACTTGACAACTGAGAGCGACGAGAAAGAGGGCGACTAGTGATGTGCTGAATTGTCCCCAATACTCGGTACCCAATACTTAAAAAAGATTTCGGTACCCTATACTTCCTTTTCGGTATCCGATACCGATTATTTACATTAAATCCTCGCCATTATATGCATTTCAGGTTTAGAAAAAACTTTCATTACTAATTTATATGATATCGGCTAAAACACTTGAACTTATCGCCACAAAAAAATATTATTTTATCAGTTTTAACCTTAGTCGATCCAAGGTTCAAGAAAAATACTTTGACGGATGAAGAAGCCTTTCAGGGGAGAGATTCTGTAGCCAGTTAGCGACAAGTTTCGGATCGATATCGCACTTGTTGACTTACAAATATTTGATATCAAACGTCGACAAAACCGATACCGATTCGAAAATTGTCATTAACTGGTTACAGAATCTGTCCCAGGCCTACAAAAATGATATCGTCCGATTCAGCTGGAATAAAAATGCTTCAAACAAGTAAGGGTTTCTCTGTATTATGGCATCGAACCGACATATATACATATTTCATTTGAATCAGTAAAAAAGCTCTATTGGCTCTTACATTCGGGTTTTGTTAGGCGTTTTTTTTTTGGCCTATGTGCGCTTTTATTCGAAACCTAAATGTTTCGGTACCGAGTATCGAGAGTATTGGGTACTTAAAAGTATTGACTCAGCACATCACTACTGCCGTCTCTTCTACAATGACGTCACCAAAACAGCTAATGCTGTCAAAATCACTGAGAGCCGAGTAGCGGTATCGTTATCGGCGCCACCTCTGTATTCTCTCCATCCTGGTTCCGATACCAGTCAAGAATGATAGAATACAAGATTGCGCCAATCGAGCTGAGAGCAACTGGCCGTGACGTCAAAAAATACCAGTATGAGAGAGCAAGACGAACTCGACAAGAAAAAGAGGAAGCTTCGGACAAAAGGCAGTATTGCCAAGTTTTGAATTTGAAAAAGCACAAAATTTTTATTGGTGTATTTTATAGACTTTATATGCATACATAATTTCATTGTAAGGATGCCGATTCAAATTAATAAAAATCAATGTTTCTTGCACGACGGTTGATTTCTTCTGGCATGATTGAAGGTGCTGCCACATATTTTGTTGTCGCTTATGATTGTCACTGTGCCATGATTTTGTTTAAATTTTTGTAAAGTTGCTTACCACACTTACGATTGCTATAAATTTTGCCTCCGTTTTTTTTTTTAAGATTTTCTAATTTGGTGTCTTCAAACTAAAAACAAAAGCACCAAAAACGCGCCAAGCACCAAACTCAAAAATTTTCGCGTTTTGAATACCCACTAAATTTGGTGCGAAAAGCATGAAGTTGGCAACAGGGAATGTAAACAAAAGTATTTTATGACGTCAGCGATTAGGTGGATGCTGTCAAATCGACGAAGAGAGGGTTAGCGGTCAGCGAATGGCGCGACCTTTATTTTCTGGATCGTGGATACCAGTACTTAGAGCAGTGTTGCCAAGTATTAAGTTTGAAAAAGCACTAAAACCCAAGGAAAAACGCTTTTTTTCTCGAAAAAAGCACCAAATTTTTACCGGAGTTTTTAATGGAGTTTACATGCATAACATTTTTTGGACGGATGCTGACAAGGCGATTTATATAAGGTGGTGTTGTTTCATCAGCTGTGAGTAGCGTTTGATTGTCCAAATTTTGAGTGATGCAATAATACAAGGTGTTATGTAAAAGATTTTAAATTAATTAAAGAGTTATTCGCAAAAAATACTTGGACTTTGCACTTTTCGCACCATGTTTGGATGAATTTGATGCAAATAAATGGAGTAAATGAAAGTTGTTCTCTGCAAAAGGTGTTCAGCCCCCCTTCTTTGGCAACACAGTAAGGAAAATCCTACTGCCTGAGGGTTATAATCCCTAAGTGCGGTCGAAGTCCGCCTACGCAAAAAGGAGTTGGACGCCTGGTTCCGCTAAAGTTCACTTTTACCTATTGTATTTGTTGAATCGATTCCACCCAAGGTGGCGCATTCTCGAAACCGCTATTTTGGTTTTGCCGACTTTGACATTTATGGCAATACGTAAACAAACTTTTTGTTTATAAAGAAGTGCGTATTGCAAACGTATTGTGTACCTTCAAGTGAAAAATCGAAGTAATTCGTGCGTTCTGAAGTAAAAAAAGTTTTATTTGTAATAAAAACTTTATAAAAATGTCGTGTCGTGTGTTGAATTGCAGCAGCCCTAGGGGCATAGTCCCCAAATGCAGTTTTTTTTGTTTCCCCGCGACGACGCCTTGACTAGAAAGTGAGTACAGTTCATGGTGAAATGAACTGAAGGTGGCGCATTCCCGAAACCGCTACTTTGGTTTTGCCGACTTTGACATTTACGGCAATACGTAAACAAACTTTTTGTTTAGAAACAAGTGCAAACTTATTGCAAACGTATTGTGTACTTTCAAGGGAAAAATCGAAGTAATTCGTGCGTTCTGAAGTAAAAAAAATTTATTTGTAATAAAAACTTTATAAAAATATCGTGTCGTGTGTTGAATTGCAGCAGCCGTAGGGGTAAAGCCCCCAAATGCAGTTTTTTTTGTTTCCCCGTGACGACGCCTTGGCCAGAAAGTGGGTAGAGTTCTGCCGGCAGGAGAAGCCATACAATTTAGACACCAGCGTAATATGCATGAAGCACTTTACGGACCACTTTTAAACACGACATGTTAAGTTGAAAACGTTGAAATGCCACAAATTGCAAATTGAAATCGGAGGTAAGCAAGCATCGACCACTTTCTGCAGGAAAACATGCGCTGCGACAAGATATTATCACTTTTTCGGCACCTGCAATACAAACACGAAAATTCTAAATGGTTAATTAATAAGACCTATTCTTTTGAACACATTTCAAGAGTGGTTGTATATTTTTTGTTAACGTTGTGCTTAATTTGCTATATTCAAAGATGGCTTGAAAAATTGGTGAATCGAGAAGAAAACACGTTTTCTCACTGCAAATTCACAACTGCCAACTCATTGTTCTTCGCCATATTCTTTGTTTACCCGTTGCCACAAATGTCATTCTGCGGGAATGCGCAATCTTGTATTCTATCGTTCTTGCACCTTATATATATTCGCCTTGGATCACGGTGCAGCGAACAAAGGTGGCGCCGTCAGTGGTACCGCTACTTTGGTTTCGCCGATTTTGACATTTGTGGTAACTTGTAAACAAACTTTTGTTACAAATCAGCGAAAGAGAAATTTGAATTATAAGTGAAAAATCAGTTTAAATGGTGTTAATTTGCAATTTGTGAGTGATTTTTGAGTTGAAGACTGCATAAAAACCAATACAATGAAGTGATGTGTGTTAAATTGCGACAGTCGTCAAGATGCAAGAAGCGTAGATGCAAGTGTAGCGCTGGGACGAATCGCTGCATTTTGTGTACATAGGGCACGGCAAAGCCGTTCCCGAAATGTTTCTCTATTATTATATTAACAGCATTTCCTCACAACGATTTTGTTTCTGCTCCACGCAGCTTCCATTAGCAAGTTAACTAATCAATCCCGCAGAGATGCTGCTGCAATTTTCTGCAGCAGCCTTAATTGCAACACAATGGAGTGCACTAAAACGTTTGCTGAAGCAGCCTCAATTGCAAAGCAATGGAGTGCACTAAAATGTTCACTGTTCTCTAATAGATTAGGTGAAAAATTCAATATTTTCAAATTTAGCAAAATTAAAACACGTTTTCCGCTGTAAAGTGAACTGCTTTGGCAGTTTCAACTCGTTCTTCTTTTCGCTCTATTCTTTGTTTACTTGTGGTACACAAATGTCAACGCCCAGGACGGCGCAATCTTGTATTCTATCGTTCTTGGCCTTGGATGCTGATTTACCGGCCGTCTTCACGTGCTGGAAAATCTCGCTTGAGTGACGACGCATGTGACCACGAGTAAATACCAATTCAAAAGCATTATATGTACATATGAAAATATCATTGAGATATTAATGTTTATAATACGGAATTTTATAAAAAGAGAAAATTGTATTCTCTGCACACAACACATTTGACAATGAATTGAATGTGCTCCTGGCACACCGACCGTTTACAAACTAAACAAACTTTCCGGGAGTTCCGTTGTCTTTTATTCACTTGCTGACAAACATGACACTTGCCTCTGATTATCATTCGGCCAGTTTCACTCAGCTCAATTTGCGATTCTGGTGAGAAGGACGGAGATAAATGAATATTCAGAACAGCCTCTATAGCGGTACGTACGTGATAATGCTGCAGGATACGGGGGTTTGATGCTCGGCGATTGATAGCCAATTCACGAGCAAGTCCTTTTATATAAGTACGACGGCTGATATTATCATGACTCGTTACATTATTGTCCCGATAATAATGTGTCCAGCTAACGCCATTACATCCACCATATTGAAAAATAGAGCCAGTGGCCACCGATGCGACTTCCTCTTGCATGTGTAAATTCCGGGAATTTGATCCATCATAACGACCCCACCTTTTGTACGATTGTAGCCGATAATTATTTCAGGATTGTTTGAGGCAGGATAGATTGTTGCATT